GGAGAGAGAGAGATAGATAGAGAGAGGTTAGTTGCCTTCAATGGTGTTCTACGCATGTCCAGAAAGTGAACACAAGATTCAGAGCAATCTCGGACAAGTATTGGTGAAGCATCAGATTCTCTTGTTGGCCTGAGCGGATGTTAGCTCATTGCGCGAAATCACGCAATACCTGTACATTTTCGATCTGCGGGATGAAGATGACAACGTCCATGCATCAGGTATCAGGGGGTAGTAAGATACTGGTATATTACTACTCCACTCCTCAAATCGTGCTGTCAAGCGTATGCGGGGGAGTGTAGCATGCCATCCCTTACACTTTCCAGCTCAGGGTTACCCTCGCTACCAATGGACGAAATTTCAGGGTCACAGCTTGCGCAGCGGCTTTGTCCTGTTCGAATGGCCACTCGACATACTCAGCACAAATTTTCTATTGCATGCATGCACAAAATGTTCAACTTTCGTATTTTTGGCGACTTTACCACCGTCGTGGAGGCTGGTTGGTGAGGAGCAGGTAGCCATCCCTTGTAGAATCAAACACATAGTTCCACAGTGTGGCTGATTCCGCAAGAGCCAGGTCCATACGAGGAACATTCGCTTTGTCTTTTGCCATCGAAGTAAGTCACTTTCCTTGTTCTCGGTGTTTTTTTACGTTCAACGTTTCTGAGATTTTTGAATTATTCACTTTTCATTCTTTCAAACTTTATTTCTTCATGTTCACTGCCTCACTTGCCTTCTGATCTGGAGAATGTGATGGAGGTGACTGTTGGTTACTGCCTGGTATAACGGTTGTCGTGCTGTTGCTGTATTTCCGTCCTGCTCGCGACGTAGATCACTAACAATTTGAAATCACATGAATTGTACTTACCGTCGTGCGTGCGGTATTAGGAAACGCTGTGCAGATTGGATCATCGCAATGTATCTATATGTGTGTCTAGTCATCCTGTGCCACGCAAGAACTCCAACCAGACGCATTCGTCATCGGCCCTGTTGATCGATTGTCCACTCGTCTTTCCTTGAAGAACGATCGATCAAAAAAATCGAGCTCGAGGACTTTTTGCAAAAAAAACGCTGAAAAAAGGAAGAAAAAAGGGTGCTCAGAATGAGATTCGAGTACACAACCATGGTCCCAGCAGTTTATGTGGATGTCGCTCATAGATGCTCGATTTCGCGCAATGTTGTCACGAATTACTGTAATTTCAGAAATTTCAGGTGCACAATATTTTCGGTGTGAGTGTAAAATGCCAGGTTAAAAAAGAATGTAAAGTTTGAACGTCCAGGTTAGGTTAACAGAAATTGAAAGTACTTCAAATACAAAGAAGCATTTCCCTATTGGATTATGTGTGTTAGCAAGAACCCATAACCCCAAGTTATGGATTCTTGTTAGTGTGTTTGTTCGGTGTATTGAAATGTTAGGTATGAGACAGACGCACGGAAAAGTACCCAGAAAAAATACACCGAAAATTTACAGAATTTAATCTCCTGTTTCGTGCCGAAGCGGATAGGCGAGAAAAGTAGAATAAAAAACAAATAATCTGTTGCGTTTGTCTCCAAGGACAGGAACTAGGGTACACTCACCATTGTTGCTTTGGTTGGCATATTCATGATAGCATCGTTGTGCAAAGAGATCGGGTCCAGTTCCTCCACCGATCTCGGTGGTATGTCAGTTAGGCATTTGCGGGCTTGCGTAGCTACAGCAGAGCAGACACATTACGCTGGGTTTGGTCAGGTGTAGGCGAACACATAAACAGAAAGGCAGTACAGTCGACATTGCAAATAACGACTGCGGACATAACGACAATTCGCGAAAAACGACAGAATGTCCATGCCCAGAGCAAAGTCCAATCTAACTGAAATGCATATGATGAGACTTCGGGTATAAGGACCTTTGCGAATAACGAATAGTTTTATGATGCCCCGCCGAGTGTACCTATACGCAAAGTTAACTGTACATCTCTCAGGCTGCTCATACAGTGAGTGCACCAGTGCACAGTATAATACTGCAGTCCAGGTGCGTGCGCCGGTGCCCTTCAAGGGGGGTTCCGGGGGGCCTCCCGCGGGAAAATTCAAAAAAAAAGAAGCAAAATCCTGCATTTTGAGCGAAAAAAGGGGGGGGGGGTTCCGGGCACCCAGGAACCCATACGGCGCACGCGCCTGTGCACGGTAGACTAGTGCACGGTAGACTAGACCAGATCAGGCAAACATCCAGTACATGCAACAACGCTGAGAACACTCAATCTTGGGACAGAACTGTTTCATCATTTTATGCTGAGAACACTCAATCTGAGGACAGAACTGTTTCATCATATTATGCTGAGAACACTCAATCTGGGAACAGAACTGTTTCATCATATGGCCCAATATCTGAGAAATTCGACCTTCCGGGCTATTTTGGTGAAAATGACTTTTTCATTGTAAAATGATTTCTGACCTGTGTAGAGTATTTTGACAACGTTTCACGGATTTCAGACTAATATTCATCATGTAGCAATGCATTTTATGAGTAGGAGTCAGATTTTGGATTTTGCACATCTTAGCATTGATTTTGAAAACTCAGCATGGTTGGTACTACTGTTTGTATCCAAGTTGTAACAATAACAGAAAACAGTTCAGGACTACAATAGAGTGTCTAAGCACTTCTTTTCCAGCTTTCACTCTGTTGGTAGGGTAGCTGCGACAGCAGCAACGGCAGTAGGAGCGGGGCAGGTGATGTCTCTGTTCTCCTCGTGACAGTGCTGACGAACCTGCTTGAAAAGGTAGTCGGCACGAGCGTGTGACATCCCGGCTGGTTGCAGGGCAGGTGGAAGGACTTCCGTCTTCAATGTGCTGATGTCAGCATCCGGCTTGATAATCGACATGGTCTTGTCAGCCTCCGTCGATGATCCAGACATCTCCACCATCCCAGGCTTGTCAGCTGAGAAGTGGAAATTCTGGTATTTCGTGATGTTTTTCACGGGCTTGAAAACAGTGGAAAGGTATGCATCCCACTGTCTCCAATCCCATGAAAACAAAACGGCCTTGTTGAAGGCTGCTGATTTATCTGTTGCATCAGCTAGCTGCTGAAGCGTATCGACGTCGGACTTCCTGTAAGTCTGCTTCAGCAGCCCAAAGCCGCCATCGACAAAGCATCGAGTGTGCCCAACGCGCATGAAGCACAGGTCGATGGATTCGTTGAGCCCCACAATGACTCGCCAGCAGAGGTACCCAACGACTGTTTTGTTTTTGTTTTGTCCGCAGCAATTGTCGGCGTGCAGACCGATGTCGTGTGCGCCCTTGGCATGCTGCTGAAGATGGAAATGGAGGAGTGAGACCACTGAGTTTGGCCCATGGCATTTGCTGCCATCAACTCCGATGGTCTCATTTTCGTCAAACAAATAGTTGTGCTGTGCTGGCACAGCCTCCGCTGCAACACCAAAAATCTGGATCCGGCGCGGAACTTTGAAATACAATGCACCTACTTCCCGGGCATGGTGTGGAATGTGCGCCTGCTGGGCAAAGTCGAACGTGAAGTGCTCGTATGCTGGCGCTTGCAACTCACTTGTTTGCTGTTCAGCTATGGCATCCTTTGCCTTCGCAATGCAGGCCCTGTAATGATCTCGCGCAACATTCGCCTTCTCCATGTGCGCCTTCAACTCTTCCACTGTTTTTTGTCTGGAAATTTCCGTTCTCGCTCGGGTGATCTTCGACTGCATGTCTGAACATTCTCCACACACATCTTCCTTCGGAGTCATAATCAAAACATCTGGAGTTTCTTTCAACCATAGTTTGACAAATGTCTGGTAAGAGACAGTGCCTCCGGCATCTACGTACTTCTGGTGCACCAGCTTCTTTGTAGTGATGCATGGCAAGTAAACTGGTGCTGGAGTGTTGTGCCCTCTGGGTGCAGCAGGCTGTGGGAGACCATTCACCACAGCGTAGTTACGAATGAAATCGCGTACCTGCGTTACACCCTCCGCAGACACAGCATGCCAGGGAGAACGACCTACATTTCCATGCTGTGGAGGAGTCAGAACGCCTGCGTCGAGATGTGCCTGCACTTGATGCACGTCGTATCGACTGGCGGAATTTGCATACAAAAATACCGCCTGACACGTTTTCACACCACCGACTTCGTACCGGTATGTCACTCGAGATCGCGCAGCATGATGTGCTCCGTGATGTCCTGAATCGCCACGATTAGCCAGAGCATCCAGCTTGCCACTCAAGAATACGCGACGGTCATCGTCGCCAAGAACCTCCGTAGAATTTCGCGATGATTTTAGAATTTCTGGTGGGACACTCAGGAAACAGTTTTGACTCCCCGCGCAAGGGCAGCCAGCGACCCGGCGTGCTTCGATGTCCTCAGTGGATGACAGCTTGATAGCTGGCTGCTTGTCCCTGCCTACAGCGGCAGCAGCTAGCGCTGTGGCCGGCTCCGGTTGCCCCTGATCATACTCATCAAGGTTGTGATATAATGCCACAAGCAGTTGCATTCTTTGTTGTGTCATGTTCTCCCTTTTTGTCCTGTTTTGTGGCATACAGCATCGCTACCAGCTCAGTGTTGATTTGAACGTTGACTATATCTCAACAGCTAAACATCTCTTCATTGCACACAGTGTGGCTAGCCTGGATATGTTCGATGACGTCACTAATCGCTGCCAGTTATGCCGTCGACCTCAAAAACCTGACCCCAACTCTGCTAACCAACATAGCCTTAGAAGGCGATTGATTGTGCAGCTTTCAAGCTTAGCGTTGTTGCCGCCTAAAACATTTGGTCATGTGTCAAGTGCGATCGTTTCATCCGCGCTATCAGAAGCGCTGGCGTCGCTGGAGGGGATATCGCCAAAGAACGATGCATCATCGTCGATGAGATCGCGGTTGGCCTCCTCTGTGAATCCAATAACAACCTGACACAAGGATCGCCTTCGATTTCCTTCCGCCATTGTCGCCTCCGCAGTTTGCTGTGACAGAATCGATTTTTTTGCGATCAAATTTGTTTTTGCTTTTTCTCAAAAAAGTCGCGT